CTAAAGGTCCCTTCCAACCCAAAGCATTCTATGATTGTATGGTTCTATGATACTGTAGAAGGAATCCATTTCACAAAATATCCATACATCACCACAATTCACTTTTCCACTGCCTGTACGACTCTGGGCACTTTAGAAGAGCACAGGCAGCTTTCTGGAGTTCAGAGGGAGCCTTGGCCACATAACCACAGGCATCACCTAGTTCATAATTGTTCCGGGACTACTTTGTCCCAAGTCACCCAACTCATCTACAGGCAAAAAACTCATCACTTTTGTACCTTTCACCTGTCCACCTGAAAACCTTGCTTGTTCAATCACATCCTCTCTCCAAGCACAGAGAAAAGCACCCCTCTCCCGAAAGCAAAGCACAGAGAGTGGAGTAACTCATTTAAGGTCATGCAGCAGATCCCTGGCAGAGCTAGGACCTGAGCTCCCACGTTTGAACTCAGACCATGCTGTGGTTTAAATTTAGTTCCAGACATGCCCTTCCCTAACATAAATCATCATCTGAGTCATGCTAGACCTTTTTTCCTTCCCTTGCAGATGGCCATACATCTTTACTCATGACTGAGCCTTCCCAAGCACAGTCTGGTACTTGTGGAACAGCTTACAAGTAGAGTAGGCAGAAAGATTGTCTTTTATTTACGTAATTGTAGAGGCTGGTGGCCAAGGAATAGAGCAGGGTTTTAAATGCGGGTGGATGGAGGCAACGTCCTCCGTGCCTGCAATTATATCAGAAGCAGCTGTGTGTTATAAGTGGGGAAGCTGTTCGGGGTGTTGCTTGCTGGGTGGCCTTATATCATCTGGCTTTGGAGGGATGATTCAGGAGTGGAGACAAAACATGTTTTGGGATGATTTGAGAGGCAAAGCTAGATGGGACAATCCAGGAACCCTGCTCTGCTGAACTCATTGCTGCTGAGTAAATATGGCCTCTAATTTCAGTTTAATTTCACTCGAATTTCAGCCACGTACCATGTAGTCATCAATGAGAGATATATTACTCCAGGGGCTAGTTTGGAGCAGAAGATTACCTTAGGTTATGGCCATAGTGTCCTTGCCAAAGAGCAACCCATAGCTCCTGGACCAACCAGTCCATGCTGGTTCATGTCCACCTTGGACATAGAGTTGGGAACACAAGCATGACCTATGCAATTGTTGGAAAGTGTCCCCTCCCCATCAGAGTACTTCATTTGGTCCAAAGATCCTATGCCCAGACCAATACATATGCAATGTGAACGACCAGGGAGCTGGACTCCACTTCAAAACAGGGAGTGAATCAGCTTGGTAATAAAGAGGCATCCTAATTAATCACTCCGAACCACCTCCAGAGGTATTCTCTCTCTCTTTCTCTTTAGTACATGGAGAAAGTAAAGAGGGTCAGCCTAGGTGTTTCATAGGAAACATGATTACATTAGGGAGAGAAATCCAGGCAAGAATGATCTGGAGTAAGAAAGAGACATTTAACGCAGCAGTCCACTCGGTCTCCACCCCGATGTTCTCAAAGCAGATTCCTGCCTTTGGTTTCTGTGGCATACTTTGCACCTCCAAAGTGATAGTTACTTTCCTAATGCTTCAGAGCCATCACCCAGCTAATCCTTCCAGCAACAGACTGCAATGTTCTTCCAAACCTGGACTGGATTAAGGGTAAAATGGCTGCTCCTGAGACTGCAGAACCAATGCCTGCAGTGCTTAGGCCACTATCACTTAATAAAGTGAAGAGATATGTGGCTGGAGAGCAAAGACTACAATCAAACCTGCTATGTGTTCACGTGGTCTAAACTGCTGGCTGAAGTGCAGGTCTTCCACAGAAGCTAAAAGTGGCACCAAATCAAACAAGTACTGCAATTCTTACCTGATGAGAGAAGCCAGGCCCACAGCACAAAGCACCAGGGCAAATATCAGCATGATTCCCAAAATCATGACTGTAGGCTCAATCCCTGTGCAAAGAGGGGAAAAGAATCAGTGAATTAGAAAATCCCTTTGATTTAGGCAATAATATTGAAAATATCAGTATTCAGACCATTAGAATATCAACATTCAGACCTAGAGAGTCAAATATTCAGCCAGAAGAATGTTAGGCAAGAGTTTTAATGCAATGTTAATTTGTGAATACACAAATACTTACTGACTTTATTTACATGAGACTGCAACTACTTTAATTATTTATTTCCATGCACTTTTTTTCTATACCAGACCTAGAGCTCTGGATCAGTGGAAAAATAGTTTTTCTTCAAGTAAATAAAGACTGGACTGACAGGCAACTGTTACATTTTAGAGGCAGCTTCTGAAAAGTTCGTAACTTTTGAACATTTGACCCTCTTCAGGAACTGAAACGCTAAAAAATCTTTATCATGTGGTACCAAACTGACGGCCAGTGTGAGTCACCAGCCCATCTGGGATTTTTCATTCCCTGCTACAGATTTCTAACACTGAAAAGAGCAGAAGAGAAGGAGAAAGCTGATGTCTTCCTCAATGGGCCCATCAACAGAAAGTACTGGAAACACATACTTTGCTTGTGAGTGGTTTTGCAAGAGAGCTAAGGAAAGCTAACATGGGTGGATGAGCTCAGTTCCAGTGGAAAGCTTTTGCCGTCTCTGTCTCCTCTGTCTTCTGTTTATTTCTATTTTATTCTGTCTGTGTTCAGATATCCTTAAACATAAACAAGCATTGAGAAATTTGGGTGGATAAAAGGTTCATGAGACCTAGAGCTTCCTGGTGAAAGCTGCAGAAATTTTTGAAAATTAACCTTCTTTTCAGGAACAGACAGAGCATTTCAGCTGAAATTTTCCTGCCAGGTTTGGACTTACTTTCTGCTTCAGCCCAGGGCCCCAGTCCCTGATTGTCCTCATACATTCACTGGAACAGGTTGCCCAGAGAAGTTGTAGATGCCCCATCCCTGGAAGTGTTCAAGGTCAGGTTGGATGGGACTTTGAGCAACCTGATCTAGTGAAAGATGTCCCTGCCCATGGCAGGGGGGTTGGACTGGATGATCTGTGAAGGTTCCTTCCAACCTAAACCGTTCTGTGATTGTATGATTCCATGATTCTATGTAAGAAGTCACTCTGCTTTCATGCTCTAACCTGGATCTAGCCCTGTACACCTCCATCTGAGAAGAAATCCAGGCACAATAGAGCGGAGACTTCACACCCATTTCTCCACCTCACAGACAGTATGGATGTAGACCAAAGTTTCACTCCACCAAAGTGCAATGGAGACACAGCCAGATTTCTCCAGAAGATGCTCACCTTGAATACAGAAATGAGCAAGACCACACCAAGCTTGCTTGGAGGCCAGGGTTTGTTCTTCATGCATAGACAAAGTCAGTGTTGCGGTCCCCGTAAGAGCAGGTGACAGCGACCCATGTTCATACCCAGGAAGCAAGGGAACTGCTGAAGATGTGCCCCCCTCCAGAAAGACTGATGTGAGTGTGAAGCCAGAACACATCCCATAAAGGTCTTGCACAGTGCTAAATCCATGGGAAAGGAGGGACTGGATCAGCTTAGAGGCAGACTTGCAGGAGACCTAGTGCTCTGGAGCTGTGGTTGCCTGCTAGGAAACTTGTTATTAAAGACAGAATGAGCTTTGAATAGTCCAGTCACAGGGGAATGGGTTGGTTTTCTTGCTGGGCAAAGAAGCAAATGCCTTCTGGACAAACCAGCGATGAAGTGTAGGGGTATGAACATCCCATCTCACATCTCTGCATGGCCTTCTAACATTTTCAGAGAGAATCTCTAACCCAGACCACAATGTGGTAGGAATAATGTGGAGTTTGTAATGCTCTCTTCTGTATTCAGCCAGGGTTTTTTTACTGTCTCTCTCCTAAACTTCCTCAGGTATCCCCCAGACACTCTGCTGTCTGAACAAATCTCCTTTGAGAAAGAGCCTCCGGAAAATTCTTTTGCTTATTACCATTGCATTTTATAACCCAAAAGTGCTTGACCATATGGTCAAGAGGACTCTTGGAGTGTATTTTCAATGTGGTATTTGAAAGGCAGTGCAGAAAACCAAGGAATAGCAAAGGGTCTCTCCCTAATCATGCCCTTTGCTTGAAGTAGGGGCACAGTTACACATCATGACATGAGGACTCTTTCACAGCTGGAAAACATCCAAATCCCATTTCATTCACTGAAGCAGCAGCTGATAAGCTGAGAGCAAGAGCTGGTTGGAACACAAAATTCACTGGGGTGAACAAGGGACAGTAAAAGGGCAAGAGAAGTAAAAAATAAACACCTAGATAAACAAACCCTAAGGAATAGGAGATAGCGAAAGCAATACCAAAGACCAGAGCACTCATGTCACTGTTGGATCAGCCATTGCAGGAATGATGCAAAGCCTTGAGGAAGCTCAACCAGAACTTTATAACTAATCAGAAATGAAAGCAAGGTTATCATGGGCTCATGGGAAAGAGCAAACTTATGGCATACTCAAGGGGACTTGTGGGATTGTGTTAAACTCATTACGAGAAGCTTTAAGGGGATTATGGGAGTATATGAAACTTCTTATAGGAAGAAAAAAATGGGGAAAAGGAGGGATGGAGGGAAGTTGGGGAGGCTGAAGCATGTGCTAGTGGTCACACGTGGTCACACGTAAACATGTTGTGCATTTTTCCAGCCAAACCCTGTACCTGATCATCACAATCTGTCCTACCTTCTTCTTAATCCCTGTTCCTGATTTCTTTTCCTGGAGGAGGGTGCTCTTTATTTTGCCTGTGTGTGACATTTGCAGACTTCAAGTCAGCCTAACCAACAAGTAAGATAAGAGGTCCTGGAGCCTGCAACCCATGAGAGACCACAAGCCTGGAGACGGGATCCTGCAGAGACCAGAGGGTTTGAGAGCTATCTCTGGGGGAATTACAGGTCTGGATCACCTACCAGAGGATGCATTTGTGTGTGTGCTGGGGCTGGGGTTGTGACATGTGCTAGCAAGCTTGGAGCCTGATTAGCTGGTGCACAAGAACAGGATCAGGCCATTCGTGGTGTCCAGGTTTTGGCAATGCTGGTTGTGGGTAATGGTGCCTGTAGATGCATTGCTCTTCTGTATGTGTTCATCTGTTAGGGACTGGCTGTGTCTGCACTCTGTGTGTGTGTGTGTGTGCACGTGTACTGGGAGCACCTGCTCAGCCCCGCTCCTGGTGGACCTGGGGTCAGGAACCACAGCAACCTGGTAGCTTCACATCCAAACCCTCCACCCCAACCCTAACTGCATACAAAAGCCAGACTGAGGCCTGGATTTAATTCTAGTCATAAAATTCAGTCTCTGAAACATTAGTAATAATAATAAATTACCGCTTCACTGGCAAATGCCTAGAGCTGTATGCTTTTGTAGTGGTGTGAACGTAAAATCTGATCTCTCTCAAAATCAGTGGGATTTTTCTATAGACTGCAATGAGATGCTAAATTGCTATGCCATTCCTAGTAGCGGTGCAAAATTAGATATATTGGTAGCATTATATTTTTCTCTTCTATAGCTCGCCAGCTGCTGTAAGATCAGTATATGTCCAATTTCCATGGAGTGACACTGATTTAAACCAGCTATGGCTGAGCCAAGGGGAATGTTTTTCTCAGCTGCTGAATGAAATATTCTGTAATGTGGTTAATTTTGTCTGTTTAAGTCATACCCTGGAGCAGTAGGAGTAAACACTTAGTATTATAAGTAAATATGTCAATTGGAGGTTAAGTATCCTACCCTGAGATTTTGGTTTCCCTGTGGACTTTAAGACTGTACCACAGTTGCCTCAAACTAATATGTAAAACCAGTGCCCAGTCTTGCAAACCCAGGAAGCAGCACAGATATCTCTGTCCCTAAGGCTTCAGTTACCACCTCTGTTGTCTACAGTAACTCAAATTATTTTGAGTAATGATTATTATCTTTTCTTGATGAGGTGAGCTCTGATGATCCTTAAAGCTGCATAGCTAACTGGGTAAAGAATCTGGGGTTAACCAGGAGAGATGGTGAGAGCATCTGCTGTTGTGCAGGTCTCTTAGGCTGTCTTCAACGCAAATCCTCTTAGTGCCCTGTCCCTCAGAAGGACAGGAACACGGTGCTGGCTGGAGCCTCTGGCACATATTGATTGCTATCACAATAGGCAGATGTTGACTGTTAGACCTGGAAAACTCTTTCCAGCACAAAGCAGTGGCAACAACCTTACTGACCTAACAAGCAATAAGAGAGTCTTGTGGATCAACAGTGGGATCTCTGTATAGGACTCCCATTACAAACAACATGATGACTGGTCATATTTATATGAATTTCTTGAGTTTAGGTTTTTCTCTTTGGGGTGCTCTTCCCTGGAGTAAGAGAAGAGATGAAATAAATAAGAAGCATGGACCCAATGCCATTTGACCCTGGGGTTTTGTCTTTCTTACCTCCAGTGCAGAGCACATCTGGATCAAACCAACAGCTGGAGTCTGGCTTGGGTGGAGCTGCACTGGGAAAGTGGATGGCCCGGCCTAGGGACTTCACAGACTCTGAAGACATATCCAGCAAGTGGGTTGGGAAGAGCTGGTTCCCATGACCATCTGTGTCCAGTATCACATAGTTGCTCAGCCCCTTACCATAGTTGTCTGTCTCTACCCGGTGACTAAATCCAGGGAAACTGAAGTTTTTGGTGTGCTCAGCTATGTTAGCTCCTGAGATTCTGACTCCTTTCCTCCAAGCACTGTCTACAGCCATTGCCATGAAGTAAATGGCATCATAGATTGTTCCAAATAGTGGAGAAACCTAAAAATACAGGAGAAGTTGAGGTGAGGATATACTGTTGCCAACGTCTGGTTTGAGATCTGTGGCAAAAGATGTCCCACTGGCTAGGCTGTAAACTCAAGAACTGAGACACCTGATAGCTAGGCATTCAGGAGAAATATCCTTTCCAAACAAATGCAGACCACATCCAACTTTCACCATATTTTTCTCAAAATAAAAACACGCAGTCTGGGTTGTCTCTCACCTGTACTTTCTCTACAACTATTGCTTGTCTCATGTCTCCCATTACCAGGTCCCAGAAAAGCCTGAGAGAAAGAATATTTACCTGGGTGGCTTCCAAATCCATGGTTATTTCACCACCTTCTTTAGCTTCCCTGAATGCATCATAGAAAGTCCTTTCTCCAGACTCCAGTGTGATAGTCAGCACAGCATCATATGCTTCCTGGAGCTTGCTGTCATTATCAAAGATGTTGAATGTGTTGTTTTGGTAAGGAAGACTGTACAGTAAAGTGTCATATGGAACAAAGACGTATCTTCCATCTGCTAGTCCCATTTCCAGAGCTTTTGTGAGTAAGGTGGCCTGTTCCTCCCCTCCAATGAACACAGAATGCATGCACAGGAGTATAACTGAAACACAAGGATCGCAGACAGTGGTGTTAATCCATTTGAGGCTTTCAATATAAAATAGCTCCCTCCCCCCCCAGTAAAAGAGCTGCCTGAACTGCCGTATCAGGTCAGACTCTAACGGTCCCCCACCAATGTTATGTGCTGAGGAAGCTGGGAGCTACACTAATTTTGTTCAACCTCTAGCAAAGGAAACTGCGAGCATTACCCATTTCTGGAGCCATACAAAGGAAGAGTGGAGAGAAATTTTGACAAAAGTGAGGCACAGGCTAACATGATGGGTAGTCATGGTCATTGTTGTCATTGACTGAGAGACATGAGCTTTACCCATTTTGTGCCCTGAGCTGACAGACACCACACTGTCATTAGTAGTGCCCAAGCTCCACCCGTTCAACCTGTCACCATATGTACAGATTTTAGGCTGGGCACTGTGTTGTGTTGCAACACCTGGTCCATGCCTGGCTGTCCCAGAGTCTGTGTCTTTGCCTGCAAAATGCCATGGGGCTAATGTCCACATGTCTGGTGGGGAGACCTGAAATACAGGTGTATCTGTTTAACAAGGCTTTCCACAGTGCTCACTGGCCCTTCATCAAAGGAAGCACTCCTCATTTTTCATTGAAGACAGCATTTTAAAACCCAGTCAGTGAGAGGAGCAAAGTAGGGCAATGATGGGAAGGAAAATTGTGAAGGAGATCTGTCAGCTACTAAACGAGGAGGGAGTTGGATCGCTAGAGCAGCCATGGTCTCTCCACAGGAGAAAAAGTATCCTTGGCAAAGTAGGAGCTGAAGTGAACAAGAGCATATTCAGATTGCTGAATTACAGGAAAGAAATGGGTGCTTCTAGGCCGTGATTCATCCCATACTATAGCAAAGAGCTTAAGATGGTCAGATGAATCATGTTTGAAGAGGGACTAGTTCTCTCCATTGGTTATGAAAGGAGCCCATCATCTCTAACTCACATGGAGAGCTGTGATGTTGATGAGATGAACCCACTCAAGGTGGATTTGGTCTCAAGCATAGATTTGAGCACTGATATAGCTCGAGGTTGGACAGCACCTTGCTACACTTGTTAGTCTTTAGCATAAAAGTCAAAGTCTTAGCAGAGGTGTACATCCAGGATCAGAGCTCCATCACAGACTTCCTAACAAGGCTCTGAACTAGAAAAATATTACTTTTTTCCCATATTTTCTCAAAAGAAAACAGATCATTCTTTACTACATGTGCTGTACATCAACAAGGGCCCTTTCACCGCTTTAGCATGTGCTGCATAAAACTGGATTTCACTTCTGATACCTTCACTGAATATAGATAGCAAGGACACAGCATCAAAGCATGAGATTTCTGATAATCCATAATCCAAAAGACCATAAATATAAAACCTTCCTATAAACCCCTCTTCACACTGGACAGACACCTGTCTCCTAAATATTATCTCTTCAGACAAGCTGGACCCAATCTTTCATGTTGTAGAAGACTGTTTTGCCCTACCTCCATCACTCACAGAATGCCCAGCATTCTTTTACATGAATACCTGGCTCCATTAAGGTCAGAGATAAAATTCTGCTGGACTTAAACAACTTCAAAATTTCATTCTCTAACCTATGTCCATTGGATAACAATGCAGTCCTACCCTGGAGAAAATAAAAAAAAATAAAGGAATGAGACTCAAAGCACTTACTTCTAATGCCATCAACTTCTTTAATCTCATTCCAGGTGTCTTCAATGCCTTTTTTTCCTTTATGCATGGATGTGACAATGCCTACAGGAAGCCCCTGGTTCCTGAGTGCACTCGCTAACTTGTTGGCTGTGTCCATCCAAATATCCTCATTGGAAGAAATGATGCCAACATGAGCCCAGTTAAAATATTTCATTATTGTAAACAAAACTCGGGTTGGAGAGGGCAAGGTCCTTGCAAATGTAGGGTGGTGGATGGTGGAATCCAGTTTATAATTGATGCACATCCAGGAGAAGATGGCTTTATTCCAGTTTTCCCCTAAAAGTGTAGCCACCTCACAGAAGCCAGGGTTTAGAGGGCCTATGAAAGCTGAGGAAAGCTTTCGAAAGTCAATGAATCTAACCAGAGCTCTTGATGTCTCACATTCCTCTTGCAGGACCACATAATCCAGCCTGTGGCCAAGATCTAGTGAAGGATCTTTGCTTAATCGTCCCACTGCTAACCTGGCAGCCACATGGGGAAAGGCTTTGGAAAAGAAGGGGTCACAGTTCCAGGGTCCGAGCAGTCCAATTTTAAAAACAGAACAATGTGCTGGAGAGCAAAGTAGGATTATTCCCAACAGCAGCCACCAGAGAGCCTGGAAAAATGTCTTGAATGAATTTCCGGTGTTGAACTGATGCAATCTAATGTGCCTTGACAGCACCCACAACAAGCTGTTAGGACACAGGAGGAGAAATGACATTGTTTCACAGGTGGGCAGAGCTGTGCCGAGTTCTTCAGGAAGCCAGGCAGTGTATTACCAGCAACTGCAAGAAAAGTAGATTACATTTGCCTTCCTGTATAAGTATTTGTTGAGTGCATGTAGATACAGCTGAGTCAGCCCAAATTACACAACAGTTCTCAAGGTGCAAGTCTATGAGGTGCCAAAACCCTGCACAGACACGTGGACGTGCACCACACAAGCCACTGCACCGCACAGGTAAGTGTCCAACCAGTGTCACTTAAACGTACCATAGCGCTTAAATGCACACTTATATAAACATTTTAAAATGCTTTGCAATATATTTTGAAACCAGGCAGTGAAGACTGACTCTGTTTTGTTTGCAGCAGTAAACACAACCTATAGATATGCTATGGTTTTGGTTCTTCAGAAGGATAATTCCCAAATCACAAAGACAAACACACATAAGAAAATAAAAAGGTGAAAACACACTAAGCCAGCAACTTTTGCCAAGCCAAAGTCCTCAGTGAGTTTTGAATATGAATCGGAGCCCATACATATGTAAATATTGACACACACGCACACACATTTCTAGACCCATATATACATATACTTAGAGATACACATGTATGTGCGTATGATTTTTAAAGTTTCTGAAAAGGTTTTTCAAGGACAGCTCATGACAGAGTCTCTTAAACCTGGCAAAATGAAAGGTGGATAAACAGGTAATCACAAAATGAAGGAAAAGGAGGATTATGATTTGAACTTAGATAAAGAACTGTTAAATAACTGTCAGGACAAAAGCTTTGTGTTCACTTTTGGCTTAAAATATTCTTAGTTAAAGACTAGGAGCCATAGGATTTTGGGGGAATAACAACATCACCCTTCACATCCAGGCACAGAAATCGCAAACCCACAACAGTCTCCCCACCATCTGCAGTGTCACCCTGTGGCTTAGAAAATTTGCTGATCCAAGCAGGTTTGTGCTCTGAAAATAGCAGGCCCCTTACCAGCTTACCTGTTCATTACTGGAAAAGTATTTTTATCCTGGCTCCTCAGCCACCGAGACATGCACCGCAGAGCACCGCAGTGCAGCGTATGCTGAAAATGCACCCGCAGGTCTTCTAGCCTGATGGAGAGAGACCTCCAGAAGGAGCCACCCACCAGCGGAGCAGCTTCTCACCAGCGGCAGTGGCTATCTTTGGACGTGGGTCCTGCCTCAAGGAGAGGCGATGCATGGTCAGCCTCCCCTGCAAGTGCGCTTGGGTGCCACCTCCTTCAACTTCTTGCTTGCATGGGCCACTTCTACGGGGTGGGTGCGCTGGGACCCTCCATGCTGTGTCAAAACCTTCCTATGTCCCTTTTTGTGAGGACCATCCTTCTCCTCCAAGGTTTCACGACTTGGCATACATCCCCCCAAGCCCTTTGTTCCTCGATGAAGGTCTTGCAGAGCTCCAAGGCTGTCTCACTCTGAACTGCCTCAGTGCAGAGATGTACTCATATCTAACTTAGTAATTGTAGGAATGGCATCTTAAAGCTCTGCCCTCGGATTAGTGGGATTTAGCTCCTGGGATATGCCCCGGCAGAACAGCTCCTTAAGTCTCTCTGCACTCCAGCAGGGATAGCTCCTCTTCTGCCCTGTAAGCAGCAGAGACAAGAGCTATTTTAAGTTTGGGGTAGGCAGAGTATTCGATTTCGGGCTCTACCATCCTGCTGATGTGTTGCATTCCTCTTTTCTCCATTTATTCCTTGCACCCATCATGACACACACAGAGCTTTTTATACTTGGATCAAAACCTTGGTTATTTCCCTGAGTCCTCTAGATATGTCCCTACAGCTGAGCCCTCCAATAACCCTCTCCACACTCCCAGACACCTTCCTTCTCCAGTGGACCTGGCAATAAAATGGTCATCCTGGAAAGACCTTGAATATCTCCACACCTGTCCTAGCTGGGAAGCCTGAGGTCACACGACCAGCTTCTGTGGTCTAGAGGGAACCATTTGGAATTCAACTTTTCAGCAGTATTAACATCAAATATATCATATAAATTATGCATGTCTCATTGGTGTGTGTTCAGGAGCGGTTCTCTCTTCATGACTAATGATTATGGGAAGCCACAAAGTCTTTCCAAGGCAGTGGGGAGAGCAGCTCTCTCCCTTCATTTCATTAATTTTCTTCCATTCATTGATTTCCTTGCACAGCCCAGACCCAAGAAGGTTCCTAGACATGTGCTTCATTGAAGACTGGTACAACTCAAGATGGTTATCTGGAATTACCAAATTACTTCGCATTTGGAAAGTGCCTAAATGACACGCTAAAGTCAAACTTAAACTGAGAATGCCGCTTTGTGCGCTACTAGCGCATTAGGTTTTGACACTGGGTTTTGATCAAAGCATGAAATTAAATACATTTTTTCAGCTAGGAGTCTGATTTTTTGAACTGAATGTGAAAGTTTGATTTATCCATATACAAATATACCTACATCTCTATCCATATATCATACGCTCACTGCTGTCTCATTTCTTTTGGTATCGACAATGGTACTGCACAGTTTAATTTCACTCAGGCTCAACAGTTTTAAGGTCTCCTGGAGTAGCTCCAGTGATTTCTTTCTAGCAGATGTTTATAGCATTAAAATCTCCGTGTTAAAAAAAAATGTGGGTCAGGCATCCAACAATGAAAGATTAAAAAATAATTGTCTTGGAGCTCTATTTATTAGTGTAATTATTCTGACCCTTAATAATTCATATTTTTCCATAGCTGAGTGGGTTGAAACTTTTATCGCTTTCTCCCTTTTCTTCTGCTTCTTGTTTGCCAGTGAAAGAAAAGACCCTCCTGCAATCAAGTGATACCAGTGGCAGCAATCCACCCTCCACAGGAAAAGCTGGTTATCCCAAATAGGTCTGCCACGTCTGTCCCATGCTTAGGGTATCCAGGACTGGGGATGACACTCCTACCTTTGCAAAACAAGCTCAGCTCCTGGCACTGCCTGATTTGCCTCCATCATAAACAAGCAAGGGAAACCATGCAACTGAGGAAAAAAAAAAAATGTTACTAAGGTGATTAATCTAGCTGGAATTAACATTAAAGTTTAAGACACGGCATATGCTTCCAAACCTTGCTTTTTTCTCACACCTTAAGCTGATCATTCCTGCAACAACCACATCACAGAGCGAAGATTTCTTTGTAATGCCTCGTTATTTGCACACCGTCAGATCAATTCCCAGCACTCTTCCTTACTCACTGAAGTGAGAGAGAGATGCGCTCATTCATACAGCCATAAGATTTCCCATGGGAAGGTTAAGCCACAGCTGTATCGCTTTGCTTTAAATTTTTAGAGCAGAAGAGGGTGCTCTAATCTCTCCGTCTGACCTCCCACATCAGCCTGGCCAAACAGCCTCCCGGGAGCTGCTGCTGCTCTAAGCTCTTCAAGCATCCAGGAAACAAAATACGTTTTGTAATTAATTATACTAGGGGGTACCGCTGAATAAAGCTGATTTCTCTGGAAACTCTCTGCAGCCAGCAGAGAGAGACAGGGAAAAGGCTTGGCTCTTGTTCTGACTCTCCCTGCAGAAAAGTCTCATAAAGAAAAATGAGGGAGAGCAGCATGGCAATGCTTGCGTTAGCCTTTTTTCACGTCCTCCGAGCCTTAATTAAAAGCTCCAGCCTTGGAGGATCTACCAGGTTCCCACGTCTATTATTCCAACTGTTAATTACCCTCAACATTAAAAATACCCACTTAACGTCTAGTGTGTCTGGCTTCAGCTTCCTGCAACCGGCTCTCACTCTGCCTTTGCCTGTGAAACAAAAAACCAGGAAGCACAATAAATATCAACTCCCTGTAGACGTTTGGGGACCATAATTAGCTCACATCCTAGCCATCCTCTGAGCAAAATAAACAAAGAGCTCCTTAAGGCTTTTGCCGTAGAGTATGCTTTCAGGATTTCATCCTTGCAACATCCTTTTAACATTCATTTTTAATTCTTCTTCTTTGCTAAATTAAAACCAGTATTCACTGGTGAGCCTCACTCCTTAATGCTGAACATAGAGTTTATGGCATCTTTTATCACCTATTTGATTTTTCTCCACTTTAATTCTATAGCTCAGATGAACACAGTTGCAGCATCACTGTTTTCAAGCCCATCTCTGCTTTCCTTAATGCAAACATCTGCCTTGGAAGTGTGGTATGAATTCTTTGTTCCCGGATGTATACAAACCCGTCTGGTTTTAGTTTAGTGGATGCTTTTCAAATATGTCCGTTTAATGAGAGGTCCAGACCAATCTGCAAGTTTTATGAATAATGATTTTTCTGTTTCTTCCAGATAATGTGACACAGTTATTGAACAGCAGTGGAAAAAATGAGATCCCAGAGGCTCCACTAGAAAACACCACCAAAGGAGGCTCCTCATCTACTATTTTATTTCAAAATATCAATCGCTTTTTATTTCTTTATAACACAGACACACTGACCATGTACCACTAATTTTCTCTCTCAATATCCCCTTTCAATTGTAGGGGTTTAAGGAGACAATGTCACCACTTGACTTTACATGCCAGACTTGTGACTTGATCACAAAAATTATGTAAAGTCAGACTGACAAGATTTATTATTGCTCTCGCCTCACTGCCCGGCATTAGTTAACCTCCATGTGTTAATTCTTTACAAGTTCCTCTCCATTTTGTCCTTTCCATGACTCTGAGTAAGCTTGTCAACCCAATCTGACATCAGTTTCTTGGCCAGGCAACACAGGAAGGGTTTGATGTCCCATGGTTTTGGTGGGGCTGGTTTTTTTGGGAGTGGTTTTTTTTTGCTGTGCCATATTATCCTGTTTTCAAGTTGCAGTCCAGCATGTGAATCCCTTTTTCTCCAGATTATCTGATTGGCATCAGAGCAGCTATCTGCCTTTACCTGATAGCAGCTATATGTCAGCCCTGAAGAGTCCTGTAGAGTCAGGTTCAAGTGGGTCCACTTCTTTCCCCAAATGGCTAGATTTATTTGATTTTCTTGGAAGCTTATTTTG